TGCTGGTAGGCAGAAATTTCTCTTCAGAGAGTTTGTGCTAACTTTCACCCTCAGCAATAGTGTGAGGGATACCTAATTTATCTGCCCATATTCACGAAAGGTGACTGTGTCTTGTTTTGTGTTTAAATATAGAGGAAGAAAGGAGGGCAGAACTCCACTCTCGTCCCATTGTTGCTTCTTGCTCCATGAATCACTCATGACACTACCACTTCCTGAAAAATTCCAACCCTCCATGCATAATCCAGAGATGACAGCTTAAAATAGAATGAACGGCCACACCAGTGGTGTGCCACAGCCAGCACATGCTGGCTCAGGAGCCTGGCGGCGCTCAGTTCTCAAGAGTCCTGGCGGTGCTCATTTCTTCCTAACTCCAGTGACGTCACATTAGTAACTTGAAAGAGATTATCGGAGTGGCAACTGCTACAGATGCAGGCTTTTTTCTTCCCTGAGAGATCCCTTGCTATGATCTACATCTATATGCTCCTAGTGGGCTTTGGGAAGCGACGGGATTAGGGGGGCTTTCAGCTGACATGCTGGTCGGAGGTGGGGTCTGCTGGAAACAAGAGAGTCACTGTGGGGCCAGGGAGATGGCTCAGAGGAATAAGCGCTTCCTTGACATGCTCAAGGGCCTGAGTTCAATCCCTGGTTCCGCCAAAAAAAAAAAAAAAAAAAAAAAAGTCACTGTGGGCATGACTCGGAAGGGTCTCTCTCCCTTCCCCGCCCCTGCTCCTGCCTTGATTTTCTCTGCTTCCTGTGCACCATGAGGTAAGCGCTCCTCCACAATGCCGGTCCTGCTTTGGAGCCAGCACACTATTGACTGAAACCTCTACAAACTCTGGGCCAAAATGCACCTCCCTTCAAGTTGTCCACGCTGAGTATTGTGTCTCAGCAGTAAGGAAAGGGGCTGAGATGTGCGGGCCTACAGCTGAGCTGCCCGTAGGAGCTGGGGCCTGGTGGGAAAGCCGGGTCACTGGGGCCAGGACCTGGAACAGTGTGTTGCTCCCGCACCCCAGCTCTGCCCCTCCCTCCTGCTCCCAGCTGCCGTGGCGCAAGCAGCTTTTCTTCCACTGTGCCCTGCCATGCTGCCCTGCTTTGGCACTGCCAGACTACAGACCAGAAGCAGCGAGCCTTTCAGGGCTCTCGGTGACGCACACAGCTCCCTTCGGCACATGTGCCACAAACTCACCACCACTGCTATGCACTGAAAAGATGAGCTGAAATCAACCTGCTCCTCCTTTAAGTAGTGGGTACTGTCCCCTAGCAACAAGAAAGTGACTAAGGTACAACTGTGCATACTTCCCAGCACAGCAGTGCATTCCAGCAGGGAATCTGAGGATTTCCCACCCCTCACTGCACCTAAGGACTGCAGGCAACCGAATCCTTCTATTTTCTCATACTGCCTCTCCCTGGTCCTTCGTAATCTCTACCACTTACTGCTTATTCTTGCTGATTTCCGACAATGTGATGACAAAGATTCCAGACTACGCTGGAGAGCTCAGGGCAAAATCCCAGCTCTACAACAGGCCTTTGGCAACATGACCTTGGGCAAGTGGAATGCACTGCCTCAGCTTCCTTGTCTGCAAGATGCAGATGACAAATAATGCCTCACACTAATTTTGGCTGAGGATTACATAAGTTAATAAAGTATACAGAACAGTCTTGCAGACTAATACATGACAAATTTTAGCTGTTATTACTGTCTTCCCATTAATTCTCACTCGAGGTATATCTAATCTTTCCCTTAATTCTTCTGTGAAATTTACATTGTAATGACTTTTTTGTTTCAACTTTTGCTATTCAAATATTCTTTATTCTTTTTTTCATTTTTACCACTTTCATATCCTTAGGTCTTAATCATTTTAAGTATACTATTTATAGCCTCTTTTAGAGGATTCTATTATTTAAAACTTGAGAGTGTTTTGTTTGCTGAGTTCAGAGTTTTTGTGAAATCATCTTCAGAAAAGGTAGTTCTTCGGCCAGTGATATAGCTCAGTGACAAAGCACCTGCCTTACAGGTGCAAGGTCCTGACTTCTATTCCTAGTACCAAAAAAAAAGAAGTTCTTTCTGAGGCAATCTCATTAGCCACTGATTTTTTTTTTTTTTTAAATTTTATGGAAGGGTCTACAGGGTGTTCAGGGTCTCACTACTAGATCAGACTCATAGTGATCTGCCTGTTTAAAGCCTCCCAAGAGCTGGGATTATAGGCGCACGCCACCATACCTAGTCTCAATTGCCATCTCAGTGAGCCCCGGGGGCGGGACCAGCATGGCAGACCAGGGGTCATGGAACCCCTGGCCCCTGCACCTGCCTGCAGGTGCTTTAATCCACTGAGCTATGTGGCCAGCCCTAGACATTATTAAAATTTCCCTATGGAGTGATTTTGTGTTGGGGGGTGTCCCAGGGCAGTAGCCCAGTTATGTTAACTCTTACATCTAAAGGGGCTTAAGGGGCCAAGGAGATGGCTCAGTAGGATAAGTGCTTGACTGGCAAACGCAAGGATCTGTGTTCAATCCCCAGGTCCGCAAAAAAAAAAAAAAAAAAAAAAAAAAGATTTTGGGGCCAGGGAGATGGCTCAGTGGAATAAGCGCTTCCGTGGCAAGTGCAAGGGCCTGAGTTCAAACCCTGGTTCCGCAAAAAAAATAAATAAATAAATGGGCTAATACCTCGGGCCGGCCTGACAGCTCAGTGGACTAGAGCGCCTGCCTAGGTGGAGCACAGCAGCCAGGGTTTGATCCTGGCATGCTGTGCCGGCCCTGCCCATGGGGTGCGCTGGGGCAGCAATTGAGACTGGGCGTGGCAGCAGGCGCCTGTAATCCCAGCCCTTGGGAGGCTGGAAACAGGAGAATCACTGAGTCCAATCTACATAGTGAGACCCTGTAGACCCTGTCCTAAATACAGAAAAAAATAAAATAAAACAAAGGGGCTTATATCTCAAAGATCATAAAAATATAGGCACAAGGCACAGACCACCTTGTCTCACTCGCTGCTCTTACAGTGTATCTACTAAACTTTCACTTTGAAAATACAAACATGAACATAAATATAGATACAAACATTTTACATTTCTTGCTGGTGCCATTTGTTGATGCAAGGTCAACTCCATAGTGGAGCTTTTCCAGCCCTCTTGCATGAAGTCGCCTGCAGCTCCAGGGCCCTCCATCCTTCCTTGATTCCAGGCTTCACTTCCAGGCCCAGGTGGCATTAAAACCTCGGCCTCTAGACTCATGGGCCTCAGGCTGGCTGCGAAAGCTCCACGAAGCTTTGGCACATGTACAGAAACAGAGCTCCCATTTCTCTCTTCACTTTTAACAGCGGTGCATTTCCCTGCTTTGATGAGCTCCCTAGACACATTTCTTCTCTTTTCATCAACCCTGCGCTCACATCAGGAAGGAATCATAATGTTCCAGGTTACCAAACCCAATAAAAACACATACCCAGGCTTGAGTTCTGTGTGCACTAACACTGAAACTTACTCAAGGCCTCGTATCAAACGTGAGCGTAACAGAAAGATGGAAGAGTCCAAATTCCCAACTGAGAATCCCACAATAAAGACACAGTGGAGACTGGCAAACCATCTAACATCCAGGGAGGCCGGTTTTTCCGTTAGTGCTAGACTAGGTTTCTTAGAATGAGCACCATATGAATTAGCTGGCTTGGACTTGAGGGCCATGTTGTGTGCTAATTAAAATCTATAAATATGAGGAACACTTGATGACACAAGTACTTGTACTCTTTCAAAGGCCATGGGAACAAAGACTGACAGAGGAACAGCAGATCCACACTTCCCAGTTGCACTCCCTCGCCCGCTGGGTACAGTGTACGGGTCACCCACGCAATCTTTATCTCTACTTTGTGTTGAGCAAGTGTATTTGGATATGGATAAGTCAGAAGCATGGATCTATGATGATAAAAATCAGAATAGTGGTGATCTCTCTGGCAAACTACAAAAGGACGAGAGAAAGTATCCTGGGATGACATGAATAAGGAATATCCTGATGTAGGGGTGGCAAGGTGGGCGTTAACACATTAAAAATTCATCAAGCTGTGTGATTAAGAGTCACGCATTTTACGGTATGTATAGCCCCATTAAAATACAAGTCACAAGCATGCCCGAGCACAGACTGCCACAAGGCACTCTGCCAAGGGTCTCCGTCCAATGGGGAAACCTGGCCAGATCCTCCAGCCAAAGGCAGAGCACTGAGGGAGCCAGGAGGCCTAGGAAAATACTCAGCAAAAGACAATGTCTGGTGGGGCAGAGAGTGCCAGGTTCAAATAGTGGATGGACTGAGGGAGACAGCTAGTGGCACAGCCCCTGCCTGGCAAGCACAAGGCTCTGGGTTCTATTCCCAGGACCAAAAAAATAAATGAAATTAAAGAATTACTTTCTGAGTGCCGCTGAGATAGCTCAAGAGTCTAAAGCACCTGCTTAGGCAAGAGCAGGGATGGCAGTTCGATCCCCGCACCACATGCCACACCAGCCCCACCCTCAGGGTGGGCTGAGCTAGCCATAAAATTAATTAATTAATTTAATTAAACAAAGAATGGATGGTTTCCCAGGAAAGGCCTTGGAGGGTGATGAGGCTTTTGAGGCAAACTCCCTGGAGGCAGTTCCTTTCCTTCAACCTGAACTCTGCAGCACTGTAAGGAGCTTCATTCCTGCACTGACACTAAGCCCAGGGTCTGCCCAGAGCACGCAGTAGAGATGAGTTAGCGTTACTGTTACTGACGGTAGAAAGGCCAGAAGTACTGCCTTCCTCCAAAATTAGGGTAACTGAAATAGCTTGACCTGATGACTTCGCGGGCTCTTAACAGACATTCACAGAGCACGTGAAAGATGCACAGGTACTCTGACTTCAACAGAGTCAGAGGTCTGACCTCTACTACATAAAACCCATGCCCTGCCCATTACCATCTACTGCACTCTCTCCCTGGAGGGAAGCGGTACACAGCACAGGCCGTGTGCCAGAGGGCCAAGGTCCCACCCAGCTTCGTTACTTACCAACACGGTAACCTTGAACCGGTTATTCAAGCTCCAGGCTGTTTCTTCTCCTGTAAGAGAATTACAGTAAAGAGTGAATAAGTTGCAGCAGTCCTAGGCATGGCATACCCCCCCCACACACACACACACTTATTTGTTTTCCCACACCAGAGACTCAGTCTGGGAATAAACCCCATGTCACATCTGCAGACACCAAGACATTTCATGGGACTGTTTCATCAACACTTTTCTTCCAAGTGCTCAAAACAGTAATAGTATTGTAGATAAAGAAGAGTGACTCAAAGAACTGAGTAGCCAGCTGAAGGTTAGAAAAGGAAGAGCGGAGACCTACACAGACAGGTGCGCCAGACTGTGCTGTCCCAGAGGCACTGAACCGGGTCAGTCTATCCTGGGAGTTCCCAACTTCTAATCTAAAGGACAGGGAACAACACCAAGTCTTGGTCCCAGCAAAACACTCCCTTTCACTTGAGGTGAAACTTTCAAGTATAGCTTTTCGGCCCCTGAATCGCTTCTTGTTTTAGGTTTCTACCTTGCATAGAAAGGAAAGCAAACCTGTACCCTACACGGGCCATGTCACCCTCAAAAATCTCTTACAGGAACAAAAGCTTATGAGCCAAAGAGAGTTCTCAGAAGACCATAGTTAGACAACGTTCCCTTTAATGTATTCGCCAGCATTTTAGCATGAAAATTGAAGTAAAGACCACAGTGTCTAGACACCCTTATTACTGGATGGAAGTGAAACAGAATGCCTTTTTTCTGGCCTTTGGTTTGATTAAATCTTTAACTGCCTTAGTGTTTGTGCTTTGTTTTTCATTAAGTGCTGACACTACCGGAAGCTACTCAACCACCCCCCTTTTGTTCACAAAAGGTTTGAGGCCAGGTCTCACTGCCCGGGAAACTGTTACCTGCTGATAATTCCTACCACTTCTGCTGCATTTGCCAGTACTGCTGTTTCCAGTACAGGTTTTCTTTCTCTTGTTCTTCCTGCTTTCCTAGGAGGGGAGTTCAGTTTTCCCCTTTAAACAACAATACATGCAGCTCTGTAGCCACCGAGAAGATTCACCTGAAGGAACCACCTCAGTGCGCTCACAACTACATCCTCAAGTGGGTGTACACACACACACACACACACACACACACACACACACACACCATGAACACACATGTACACTGCCACAGCACACACACCGCACATAACCCACATGTGCACACACTAGCAACATACACATGCCCCACACATGCACATCATACACACATGCCCAGACACATGCCCAGGCTCACAGTTCTCCTGTCTCCTCTTGCTATGTGTTCCTGTTACAGTAATGATGGGTTTTCCTTCTCTGAGTCTTTGACCATACTTAGAAAACCAAAAATGGAACAATTTGTTCACTTGGGAAATTCTTTAGGGCTTTGGACAACGCTCTAGAAATCAGAAAAAGCACAGGAACTCACTCTCAGAAAACCTGGTTTCTCGGTTTTTAAGAATACTCACACACAGGAAAAAAAAAAAAAAAAAAAAAAAAAAAAAAAGAACAGTCATTCGAGCTGACCACTGTACCACCTGGAGACAAACCCAGGACACAGTGTGACCCTGACAGGAACATACTGGGAACCTGAAAACAAGGCTGACTTCTTCATTCCCAAGATCTGCACAGAGAAGACACGGACTGCAGCCCCAGGAATCAGGTGTTTCTTCCACAGCAGGACCTCCGGGCTGCCTGGCTTCAGGCAAGTCAGCCACCCTCTGATCCCTGGCTGCCCCGGCCACAGAATGAGTGTTCACCCTCAAGCCGCTTCCGAGCGCATCTGCACACCAGGCACTGCAGCCACAGAATGAGGCCACAAGCTGGCATTTCCAGCCACCCAGCGGCCCTCAGGGGCTGGAGGGAGCACTCCCAGGTAAATAAGCAATTACAGTTGAGTAGCTTCATATGACATGATGGGGCAAGGACAGGTGTGGGGCAACAGAGGAGGGTACATGACTACGGTAATGGATAACATAAGATAGGCTTCCCCAGGGAGGTGAGCGTTAACCTGAGAAGTGAGGCTGCTTAGAGTGGGTCAGAGGCAGGAGGAAGCCAAGCAAAGTTGACAGCACATGCAAAGGCCTGCAGGCTAGACTCTGGCCAGGCACAAGCAGCAGAGAGGCACCTGGACCACCGTAGGACAGGGTGGGCTTGCCAAGGCAACCTGCCTGGAATAGGAGGTCCCCCGAACCACCCCACTCCTCAGCTGACGATACGCTCCTCTGTGGTCCCAGGACCTCTCTCCCAGAAGGCGTCTTTGCAGGCACAGTAACAGCCCAGAGTCTGGTCCAGGGCAGACGGCACATGCCAGCCATCCCACAGGGGCCTGGCCTGCTCCTTTTTTTTTTCTCTCCTGAGTGAATGAGCAGCAACTCAAAGAGGCTGCTTTCCTCTCCCTGTCATCTGCTCTTTAAAAACACTCAGGGTTCCTACTACCATCATCCCCCTCCCTCTCCTCCCACTCAGTCCCACATTCGGCTAAGAAAACGCTGCAGGGCCGGACAGACAGCTCAGTAGAATAAGTGCTTGCCTGGCAAGTGCAGAGTCCTGAGGTCAATCCCCAGTACCACCAAAAAAAAAGAAAGAAAAGAAAAAATAGAAAACACTGCGATTTTCTGTGCTGAGCTACCTTAAGGCTGATGTCCTGCTTCCGTCATTCAGGGTCCCCAGCACTGGAACTAGGCCAGATGCGTACCACACCTTCTAAACTGTGTTCCGAGCTGAGCCCTTCCCCAGGGCCCACCCCTGTGGCAGCCCCCACCGAGTAGACCCAGAACAGACTCCACTCACCTGGCCTCTCTCCCTGCACCCTTTGCAGACTGAAATCCAAACTCTGAAAACTGATAGCTCTTTTCCATCCAGTTCCCTTTACACCAGTAAGCATCCTCTGGCCCAAGAGAACATGTGACGTGCCTGACACCTCTAACACAAGTGACCTGCTGTTATTAAAAGGAGCACAGAACTGTATAAACAGAAGACTATCTAGTCACTACTAGTAGAACATTGCTTATTTTTAGGAGAAAACCTTTAACATGTCCAAATCCAGAGGACGCTTCCCTTCCCCGACCGACCACCAACCACACCATACTTTCATGACTCCTAGGATTTTCTAGGCATAAATTAAAAATTACCTTCAAAGCTAACCTATTTATGAAGATGACCAGGAAGTTCTTTTTTTGACCAGGAAGATTTTTTAGGAAATATATAATATATATATTATATATATATATATATATATATATATATATATATTATATATATATATATATATATATATATATATATATATGTAGTAATTTTTTTTCCAGTACCATGGATGGAACTCAGCACCTTGTTCTTGCCAGGCAGGTACTTAAGCCACTGAGCTATCTCCCCAGCCCCTGGAACTAGATATATATATATATTTTTTGAACTAGATATATCTTGGACTGTACATGATTCTTAAAGTCTCTACTACAGGATCTAAGGCAGTAGTGGCCAATGTCTGGCACATATGCCACAGCGGGCAGTTATCACTGAAAGCTCCGGTGAAAAAAATTAAAAATTACCTTTAATTTTTGTAAAAGTAGAGCTTTTCCAAGCCACTCCGTTTTTTCTGCTCTTTCTCTTAATCTCTGCTCTGAGGCAACCTTACTGCACCATCACAGATGACACTTAAGGAAGACACTCCTGTCCGGAAGCCTTGTAATTCTGTGTCTTGGGCTCTTTTCGTCACAGATCTGTGCTCTCTCTGTACGCCAAGCATTTCATTCAAAGGAGTTCTCTTCAGTATGGAAGTTCCTGCAATAAGGTCCTGTTTTCTTCAAGCAACGCAACAACAAAAACCCTTTGATTATGTAGTAAGTCACCGCACATCGCTTCCCGGGAACACGGAGCACAACCCAGCCTACAAGTGGAGCACACCTGGAAAGGCTGGGCTTGAGCCCTTCAGGGCGACACCTTCCAGCCTGCTCTGGTCCATCATTATTCTCACGCTTCCTACATCACACTTAACACAAAGCAGACACAAGGAAAACAGGCGTGGCACCTGTCCCACCTGCCTAGCATGCTTTCTGCACTGCTGAAGTTGGCCCGCGTCGCTTGTTGCTGACAAGTTCAGGACAGTATTTCCTCTACAAGTGAAATGACTGCTCCAGCTTCAACCCACTTTGAAACACTCCTGCTGGGTGCCAACCCGGCCCAGGTAGAGAGCCTTCCAGGAAGAAAGCCTGGCACAGATGTCTCCAGGACTCCCCAGGTGACTCTCCCGTGCAGCTAGACCAGAGGCACCAGCTAGGCTAACTCATTAGTCAAAGGAAGCCCCTGGGAAATCTCATCTGAAAATGAAGAACTCTTTGTAATTAAATAAAATAGCAGATGTAAAAGTCCCCAACAGTGCCTGCTACCCAGAAGACAATAAATGTTAATTAAACAAGAAAATACAATTCAAATAATTACTCCTTCTCCTCCGTGAATTCATCTTGTAATTGTATTGCCTTCTTTATTACTCATTGTTTTTTCCTTCCATGATACATTCTATCCCTGCTAATAAAATTATAAACTTATATGCATAATGCTGTTCAATTATAAGAGCTCCATACTATTTCCAACAACCCTTAATCATTTTATGCAATAAAACTTTCCTCCACAACGGTGGCTAATATATAATAAATATGCAACAAATATTAGCTATTCATACTGAGTATTCAAAATGATTTTAATGCAGAAGGCATGATCATTTTTCTAAATTAGGCTATAACTTAGTTCAAACTACACTAGGAGGACTTATAGCAATAATGTACAAAATGATAAAGACAATGGTTAGCAAAAATGAAAACAGGATTTTAAACCAACTAGTTCTTTTTTGGTACTTTGTGCATATTAAATAATTCATTGCACGGGTAACCTGGCCCACTCAAGGGGAGCCGCTAACAGCTACTGTCCCCAAAGCTACCTGAAAGCATTACTCTTTGATTAATTCAGTCTCTCTTTTCAACTTCTGACTACTGCCTACCTGAGCCTGACCCAGGAAGATATTTACTACC